AAAAGAACCAGGCACCAGCCAGCCAAGGTGACACACACTGGCAATCCCTGCACTTGGGAGGCAGAGGCCAGCCTGTCTACAGACCTAGTTCCACGACAGCCAAGGCTGTTAAACAGTGAAACTGTCTCAAAAAAAAAAAAAAAAAAAAAAAAAAACAAAAAAAAAAAAGCAGCAATCTAACAAAAAGGTACAACTAAGACAAAAGATGCAAACTACAGCCTAAATACAGATAAATAAATGATGGCTGAACCCAAAACTCTAAGTGGATTTTAATGTTGTAGGATAGTACACATTTTATGTCCATGTAGGAAAACATCAAAGAATGTTGGAATCTGGAAAAGACCAAACACTTATCTGAGTCTACTGCACTAGCTAAACAGGTGGTAATTCTTGTTGAGTCCATTTACCTAAAATAGAGGACAGGGGCCCAAGGCCTGGCTTCTCCTTCGCCATGAAGGCGAGATGTCTCCTCCACCTACCTGTACTGGTGGATCCGCATGCTGAATGTTGTCTTGTAGGTGGCTCATGAGCATGAGGTCACGGGCCTGATACCAGCGTGAGTGGAGAGCATGATGGTAGATATGGCAGAGGATGGCACAGGTACGGATCCGGTCTGTACGGTCCTTGGCATAGATGTATTTGCAGAGTCTTTCCATCAACACAGCTGAGTCCTCACCCTCATTTTCTGCTTGGTCTTGCTCAGACTAGAAAAATGGAAGATCTTAGTGATGGCTATCAGCAAAGACCATGGCTTTAAATGGCTTAGGCACCAGCAATGAAACATGGGATTCTTTCCAACCTCAGTGCAATCAATCCCTCGGATTGCCTCCCTGTTCTACTTCAGAAGTCCCTTGGAGATAGAATATTTACCCTACCATCAAGGCCTAACAGATAATGAGGACAAATTCGCACTTTTCTCACTCCTCACATGATTGCCAAGTACTCTTACCTTTGAGGACCCTTCAGGAGGAGTAAGCTGACGCTGATGGGCCTTGTAGTCGAACTTGTAGTAAGTGTGCAGGATGCGCCTCAAGTAGATTTGGCAGATTTCCTCAGTGGTACCTTTCTCCTCCAGGTAGCGCTGCACACGTTCAATGATGGCACATACTTGTGCTTCATCTTTCAGGTGCTCCACGTACTCTGGTAGGGAGGACATCCACTCTCATTTCAGATGTGACTACCAGCTTTCCCAGCCACTTTGGTTTGCCCTCTACAGTTACACCCTAAAAACACCATCCTCTCCCATTGGCTTACCATCTCACTGCCTAGGAAAGTATCTGAATTACCAACTTGGTCAACAAGGCCTACAAATCTAGCACTTGCCTCCCCAGGGCTGTCCTTTCACTCTGACTTTGCTTAATGCTTATAAAGTCCCTAAGTTAGTATTACCTCCTGTAGTGTTCTTCTCATCAAAGTCCCTGTTTACTTAGGCTTACCTTGGGAGTGAGGATCAGTATTTTGCATTATTTTGGTAAATTCTTCATCCATTCGTTCCACCAGAGTTAGGATGCAGCCGCGTACACGCAGTGGCTGAGGAAGTATGCAAAGAAGGAACACAATTAACTCAGGTTTCTATCCTAATCTCAATTCTTCTCTCTATATGACTTCCTGGATTTCCTGCCAATCCCTCCCTTTACCTGATCAAAATTGTGTAAGTTCTCACTCTCTTCCAAAATGTTCTCTCCAACAAAGATGTTGGAATGTGCAACCAAGATATCCATCAGTTCATTGATGCAATCTAGGCACATCTGCCACATCTCTGGCTGTCAAGAGATGAAACAACAAAGTTAAAGAATGGAATAATGTTTTTGAGGAACTCTTTCACTAAGAATCACTGGGCTTTCAACTCGCAAGGCTGTTGTGGGCCCCAAGCCTTAAAACATTAGGTATTAGCCAGGGGGCGGGGGATGCGGTGGCAGGAGCGCATGCTTTTAATCCCAGCACTCTAGAAACAGAGGCAGGCGGATCTATGTGAGTTCAGGGCCAGCCTGGTCTACAGAGTGAGTACCAGGACAGATTCCAAAGCTACACAGAGAAACCCTGTCTTGAAAAACAAAACAAAATGCAACGACAATTAGGTATTTTCTCCTGAATACCCACCCCCAACTTAACTGTGATACTCTTCTGTTGTTCTCACCTTCATGTATGTGGCCAGGTTAGGGTTGTAGTCGTAGAGAGAGGCAATGATATTGAACTTGATTTTGACAATGACACCTTCCCCCAGGTTGTTTTCAGAAGCAATCTGAACCAGCAGCTGTAGCAATTCAATCTGGGTGGCACTGAAGGGACACAGAACTGGGTAAGGCTTTGAAGATAAATCTGCCAGTCTCTCCCTGTTATGCATGATGTCCTCTTCAGAACAGCAAAGCAACCAATTCCACATACCTTTACTATCTGTATATGTGTTTCTTGTTTTTCTATTAATTCTTTTGAGACAAGGTCCCATTTAGCCCAGGTAGGCCTTGAGCATATTATGTACCTAAGGAAAACCTTCAACTTCTGATTCTTATACCTTCACCACTCAAGTGCTGGGACTACTGCTGGTTTTATGTGATGTCAGGACTCATCCCAGGGCTTCATGTATGCTAGGCAAGCACTCTACCAACTGAACTACACCCCCATTCCTTGCTTCTCTTTTAAACCCCCAATCAAAACAACGTAATGCTAGCCATCCTAAAGTACTACTTATAAAAGGTCTTCATTCTTTCAATCCTATTTGGTTACTTAATAACTAAACACAAATATTTCCACTAACTGTAACAGAAGTTCAGTAGTTCAAAGTTATAAAAGGAGTACCCAGCAGCAAATGGACTGATATGTCCCTAGTATACAACCATAGATAATATTCTATCAAAAGAGAATGATCTCCACATCAATGTTTACTTGTGTTGTGAAGAAAGCTTTCAAACTATGAAAACTTTACCATGGCCCAAGCCCACGATTCTCACCGGTCTGTTCCCTTCTTGCCTCTGGCCTGCAGAATCTCATTCAGCTTCTTGATGACAACAGCATGAGTAATCTCAGTACCCTTAGCAAACATTTTTGGCTTCTCCTGGGCAAAAACATATTCTGTCATATTCATGTCAACAGAAACCTGTTCTTGCTTTAGGCTCATTCCCACTCCAACCAAGTGGGACCTTTGCACTCTGCTAAAAAATCAATCTCCTTTACTCTGAAACCCTCACCTTAACAAGTGGTACGCCACCACGGACCCTTTCCCACTCCCCGCCTTCATTGTCCTCCTCTTCCTCATCCAGGCGCTTAGATTTCCTATCATGCTTCTTCTTGGCTTTGTCTTCCCGTTTCTTCTCAGCTGCTTTTTTGTCCTCCTCTGTAGTGGGTGCTCTGATAAGAGATGAGGGAGAAGTTTAATAAGCCAGGCAGTGGTGGTGCATGGCTTTAATCCCAGCAACTCGGGAGGCAGATCTATGCGAGTTCAAGGATAGGCTCCAAAGCTACAGAGAAAGACTGTCTCAAAAAAACAAAAAAACCAAGCAAACAAACCAAAAAGAATTAATAAGGAAGAAAATCCTTTATGCTCTATACTTAATTTTTCTCTAATTTTAAATATTTTTTGAGGGTTGGAAAATAGAAAATAGCTCAGTAACATGTTTGTGCAAGTATGAGACCTGAGTTTGATCCCTAACAGACATACCCCTATCCCTATGTAACAGTAACTAATGAAAAAATAATAATGGAAAGAGAGCAAGGGTAGATAGAGGTGAGGATTTGGAAAGAAAGGAAAGAGGTAAATTATGTAATTATGTTATAATCCACCACCCCCCAACACACATAAAAACAAGCCAGGTGTGTTGTTATACTATAAGCTTAGTATCCATCCCAGAGATAGATGGATCCCTGGTGCTCACAGCCTAGACAGCCTAACCTACTCAGTAAGCTACAGAACAACAGAAGCCCTTGTCTAAAAAAATAAGGCAAGGCTGGTCATGGTGACACACCATTAGGCTTTAATTGCAGCACTAGGAAGCAGATAGTGGCAGACCTCTTTGAGTTCCTGGCCAGCCTCATCTTTACAGTGAGATCCTGTCTTAAACAAAACAACTAACAAAGGTGGGTAGTTCCTTAGGAATACTTCCCAAAGTACACCTCTGACTTCCATATAGATACATGTTCCCACACAAATATATTCCACACAAAAATAAATTTTGAGGGTCTGAAAAGATAGCAATTAAGAGCACTGGTTGCTCTTCCATAGGACCCAGGTCTGATTCCCAGCACCCACATGGAATTCCAGTCTCAAGGGATCCAACACTACCTTCTGGTCTCCAGGGGCAGGGCACAAATGTGTTACACATATACATACATACATACATACATACATACATACACATTACACATACACATACATACATACACACACACACACACACACACACACACACAAAGATTAACAAAAAATTGAGACAGGTCTTTTTTTTTTTGAGACAGGGTTTCATTATGTAGCTTTGGAGCCTGTCCCGGCACTCGCTCTGTAGACCAGATTGGCTTTGAACTCACAGAAACCCACCTGCCTCTGCTTGAGACAGGTTTTTGCTACATGCCCAAGCTGCCCTCAAACTTTTATTTTTGGTTTTTCAAGACAGCGTTTTTCTGTGTAGCTTGGAACCTATCCTGAAACTTACTCTGTAGACCAGGCTGGCCTCAGAGAGATCTGCCTGCCTCTGCCTCCCGAGTGCTGGAATTAAAGGGCTGTGCTACCACCATCCTGCCTCAGCCTTCTGAGTTCCAAAATTTTGGCTCACATTTTTCCTCAGCCAAGAGTCTATGAATGTGCAATGCATACTGCATATAGAATACCAGATACAATACATAGTTATCCAAGAACAAAAATGTAAAATAAAGAATATGAACCAATAATAACATTACTAGACGTGAACAAGTTTAAAAATGAGCTTCATGATTAAGTAAAGTTGAGAGTTAAAGATAATTAAGATAATTATCTTTATACTTCATATACTATGCACTAAAAAGCTGATTATCAGGAAGGGTAAACACAGGAATAACTACCTACCACTAACCACTGAGTGCCTACCACACAGTAGTCCTGGACTGAGCCACCTCCCATGCTCACTCTAACAGCTTTCCTAGGAGGCAAAACTGAAGACTGAAAAGGTGCTGCTTGCCCACTATCGCATAACCAATACATGCCAAAAAGTGAGATTTGTACTGAGAATGTGGTTAAACATTTGAACTCTGAAGTCTTCAAATCCTGTATTTTCAAGTCAAGCTTTATGACCTTATACTTGATTCTAAAATCCAGCTATAAAAGGAGTCTTTTCTACCAAAAGACTCCATGAAAACAAAGAGCAACAGCTTTCAAAATGATTGAAAGCTTTTCTATCCTCTCACTGTAACTCCCAAACCCATCACTTCCTTACTTTTTAAGGAACTTTGAGGCCAGAACAGTTTGCTTTCCTTCTTCTTCCTCTGAGTCTGAGTCAGAAGATGTAGAACTGGTGTCCCATTCTTCATCATCTTCAGAATCTTCGGAGTCCTCATCATCATCCTTTGAGGAAAGAGAGGACCAGGAGGAAGACAAAGAGACTTTCTTTGCTCCTCCTGCTGACACACACTCCAGGCATTACCATTGACAAAACAAGAGCACATATCATGGAATCAAAGTACTATGTGAAACAGACCACTAAAACTCAGGGATTACAAATTACCCCAAGGGAAGTGCCATATAGCTCCACATCACAGTGCAGGGCCTGGCAGTTAGATCCCAATTCACCCAGTTTTCCAATACAACAGAAAGCCGGTTGTCAATTCTCTACCTTTCACTCTCCAAATTGCAAGATTCTCTTAGATCAAATTTCTGCTTCCCAGGACCCAAATAGACTCTGGAAACAAATCATCTCCCAGTCTAACCCTGGATCTTACGTCCATCTTTTTTAAGAACTTTCGGCTGTCCCCAGAAGATTCTGGTTTCTTCTTCAAGAAAGCTGCAGCACTGACTCCATCATCATCTTCATCTTCGTCTGAAGAGCCTGGCAGGAAATGGGAGGAAAAAGACATTACAGGGCTAGACTGAAAAACCCATAACTTTCTAACTATCTGCAATAAAGGTCTCTTCTCTCACCTTCTGAATCTTCTTCATTTTTCTCTGCATCTTCATCTGCAGACTGCTCAGGGTTCTGCATTGAGGGAAATCAGAGAATTGGGATGCCTACCATAAGCTAGGAATGGTCACACCTTCAATCCCAGCACTCGGGAGGCAGAGGCAGGCAGATTTCTGAGTTCAAGGCCAGTCTGGTCTACAGAGTGATTTCCTGGAGAGTCAGAGCTACATAGTGAGACATCCAAAAATGCCTGCTAAATATAACCAATCTTCCTTCTCAAACCCAGACCATTTGTTATGGTTCTTTCTCTAGTCATGCTATCATGTACTAGTACTCTTTGGATTTTGTCATAGGATCATTTTCCTAGTTTGAAAAGTTAGCCTCTAGTTGACTCACCTGTTTGTAGTTTGTGATATGTGACTCAAAATCTCGGTTGTATTTTCGGATCTTTTGGCGCAAGGTACTCAGAGCCTTGGCATTGTTCTTGTTCATCTTCTTTTTCCCTTCCTTATCTTCCCACAGCTAACACAGTAAGAAAGGAGGAATAGTGATCAAGACTAAGCGGCACTCTCCAAAACTCAAGCTTTATAATCACCTTTTGGGGTCTCGCCATCTAGACACCATCCAAACTACCTATCAACAGATTGTGACTTTTTATTTGCAATGCTGAGGACTGAGCCAAGGCAAGCACCCTACAACTGACCTGTATCTCCAAACCCTAACTTACTTTTTGAAGATCCTTTATATATTACTACTACAAATACAAAACTGTAAGTAAAAGGTGACTAAAAACGTAAAATACAAGCTGGGCAGTGGTGGTGCACCCCTCCAATCCCAGCACTCAGAGGCAGAGGCAGGTGGATCTCTGAAGGCAAGGCCAGCCTGGTCTACAGAGTGAGTTCCAGGACAGCCAGGGTTACACAGAGAAACCCTGACACAGAAAAACAAAACACCCGATAAATATAATCAAGCACTTGAAAAAAAAGAAAGAAAAAGAAAATTTCCCTCCTTGCTTTATCTTTATCTCATTTTCTAGGGCACACGATATATAATAAGGCAAAAAACCCCAGGAGGACCCTGGCTACAGGAAAGGAGCACAGCTGGGTCCACATCCTTCTGTATCCTCACGGAGTCACACCTCATTAAGATAGTCCTCCAGGTCAGCCAGGATTCGGATATAGAATCGGGGGACACCCTCCTTATCCACAATACTCTTGGCTTTCCCATATGCTTTTCCCAGGAGCTCAAACTCTTCTAGACACTTGGTGACATCTCGAATCTTCATGGCATTACGGATGGTTCGTATAAGGTTGGTCAGCTCCTCAAACCTGGGGGTTGGGGGTGGGGTGGGAATTCAATATCAGGTTGGTTGTGTCTATCATGAAGAAAGTAACATCATCACTCCCTCATCACCCAGCCTCCAGTGGCCTCACCTCTTGTCCTTTGCACTTCGGACAACTCTCTTTGTATCCTCCTCATCTTCACTCAGTAACAAAGGCCTGTATGGAAAAAACAGACCATCAGCCTTCATTCTTTACTTATTGTGATTCCTCTTCTTAGATGAAGCAGGTAAAGGACTGGGGCATCCATACCATCCTCTTTTCTGATCCCATTCTTCATACTCATCAGCCACAACTTTGAAGATGGCCTTTTGATAAACCCTGACAGTATATACAGAAGTATCCCCCCAAACAAACAACTGGAGAGCTTATTTACTATATGAAACAGCTAATTACAAAATGGCACATATGGCTATAGAAGTAACTAAGAAAGAAGCAGAGAAAAGGCACTTTCGACGCTAACAAATGGAAAAGTCTTCATGGAGCAGGAACCTGAACTGGTTCCTAAAAAGAAACATTTCCCAAAATAGGAGAGGCCACTAGTCAAGAAAAGTTTTAGTGAATTCTAGGGTGTTGGTAGCACATGCCTTTAATAACAACACTCAGGAGGCAGAGGCAGGTGGATCTCTGAGTTCAAGGCCAGCCTGGTCTACAGAGCAAGTTCCAGGACATCCAGGGTTACACTGAGAAGAAACCCTGTCTGGGGAAATAGATGGATGGATGGAGGGAGGGAAGAAAGACAGAAAGAAACAAACAAACTGGGCTGTAGAGATGGCTCAGAGGTCAAGAACACTGACTGCTTTTCCAAAGGTCCAGAGTTAAATTGCCAGCAACCACATGGCAGCTCACAACCTCTGTAATGAGATCTGATGCCCTATTCCGGTGTACAGGCAACCATGCAGACAACAGTGTGTACATAATAAATAAACAAACAAATAAATCTTTAAAAGAAAGTTTTAGTGAATTTTAACAACCATTTGCTTAAATTTCTTTTAAATGTGATGGGCCAAAACATTCAGTTAGCAACAGTTAATTCTTAAAAATTTTCCCTGATAATTTATTATACAAATAATGGTTTTTCACTTTGGAGAGTGTTACAGAATTGTATTCACATGGATATATATGTATATATATATAATGTTATATGTGGTATTATATATTATACAATATATATTCTCATCTACAATTTTCTGTAAGTCTCTGTGGAGGTACATATAGTATTAAAGTACTATAGGCTCACAGCAAACATAATTAGTTTTGAGAACTGTTTCGGAATTTAAAATATTTTAGCTTGCAGGGATGGAAAGACAGTTAAAAAAAAAAAAAAAAAAGTGAACACAGCAGTCCTTCCGGTGAGCTCAGCATTGCCTTGGGCTCCCCTTCACTCCAAGCCCTGCTCAGTGTCTGAAAACCTGACAAAGGCATCTCCTCCCCGGACATCCTCCAGACCTACAGGGTATTTAAATGGCCTCCTAAAGAAAAGCTACGTGATTTTCAGGTTCCTTCCCCCAGTCTCCTCTTTGGCCGCTGGGAGATCATCCTGGAGAGTTTTAGTCATTAAACCTGGATTTTTAATTCTTAATTCGGCTTGGCTTTATTGGCTGCGCGGGCGGAGAGACTTAATATCAGGGTATACAAATCTTTCAGTAGTGAGTAACAACTGTCACGCAGGGCCAAACGACAGGACTTCAGAGCCACAACAGACCAGACACTATCAATCTCTCAATGTTTCCTTCCATGAATACAAAAATGTCACTGATGGCAGCTTGGTGCGAAGAGGTTTACAGGGAGAAGAGAGGGACACGGAGAGGCAATGTGGGGAAGGACCAGGCTTCTGAGACAACACCCAGCAGCGGGAAACCTCCGGTCCTCGGTCTTAGACCACGTCGAGGACTCCCAATTCGCTGCCTCCCTCTGACGCCCCCAGCCCACTCGAGCCCCCGCGAACTGCCAAACCCGTCCTCTAAGCGTCCCGAACTCACCGTCTGCCGTAGTTCCCCGAGACGGGCTTGGTGTCCAACTCCTCCCCGGACAAGGATGACTCGGACTCACTGTCCGAGCCGGTGGTGAAAAACCGCGACATGGCGACGGCGCTTAAGGGCTGAGGCGCGCGCGGCTGGAACCTGAGTCAGACCGCGGCGTCAGGGTCTGGGGACAACCGCGGGGACCACCTCCCCACCCCGACCCCTTTTCCCGCCTGCACGCCCTCCCCTTGTCCTCCGCGGACCACCAGGGGCAAGAAATACTAACTAACCAGCAGTGCTCCGAAGGCACGCAGAAGCGGCAAGACAGGCGCCACGCCGGAAGAGGAAATGGGTGGTGCGTCAGTTCCTGGAAGGGCTAAAGAACGCGCTAAATAACTACAATTCCCAGTGGTCTTTGCGCCATCCGGGGCCTTGGGACAAATTTGTTGTAAAGGTTTTGAGTTGCTGTATTTTAGGACTGCCACAACTAGGCTGCAAGACAGGAAAAATAGATTATGGTGGCCTCCGGATGGTGCACGTTTGTAATCCCCAGACTAGCGAGACTGAAGCAGGAAGGTCTTGGGTTCGAGGCCATACTAGACTCAGAAAAATGCTCTTGTCAGGGCGGTGGTGGCACCCGCCTTTAATCCCAGCATTTGGGAGGCAGAGGCAGGCGGATCTTTGTGAGTTTGAGACCAGCCTGGTCTACAAGAGCTAGTTCCAGGACAGCCCCCAAAGCCACAGAGAAACCCTGTCTAGAAAAAAAAAATGCTCTGGCTGTCTATCTGAACTTCAGATGGCCTCAAGATGATGGATCAACCAGATCTTCTGCCTCAACTTCCAGAGGGGACTATAGGAGTGCCTCTGTGTCCAGTTAGATGCTCATCTATCCTTATTTTCTTTTCCTTCTTTCTATCCTTCCCCTTCCTTCCTTCCTTCCTTCCTTCCTTCCTTCCTTCCTTCCTCTCTTCTTTTAGACAAGGTGTTTGTAACCCTGGCTGGTGTCATGAGTGCCAGGATTAAAGGCACATGCCATGTACTTCTGGCTGTTGTTGAACCAGGATTATACCGTTATAAAAATTATTAATTTTATTTTGGTTTTTCAAGACATTGCCCGGCTGTCCTGGAACTCACTTTGTAGGCCTCGAACTCACAGAGGCCAAGCTGCCAATCTTCCTCTGCTTCCAGGTTGCTGGGATTAAAGGTGTGCACACCACTGCCTGGCTTATTTATTTTAAAGTAAGATCTCAAGTAGGCCAGGCTGGCCTTGGCTTTCTATGTAGCAGAAGACCATGAACTCCTGCTCCTCCTGCCTCTACCTCCCTAGTGCTGGGATTATAGACATATCAGCACACCCTGGTACTTTTATTGTTTTCCGGGGATAAAACAGAAGGCCCTGAGCACCGTAGGCAAGTGCGCTGCCATTGAACTATATAGCCTTAGTCATCAGGGTCCCACTGCAAATCCCAGGTCAGTCATGAGTTTGTATTCTCCTGCCTTCCAAGTGCTGGAGTTACTGGTGTGTGCCACAACACCTGTGCTGAAATGCTTTGTACACTCATAAACATATATTCCAAAATGGGCTAACATAATTTTTCACTTTCAGATAGACTGCACTGTTGTGGAATATTTGTATACAATGTGAAGACACATCATTGTGATTGGTTGGATAGAGAGCTGAATGGCCAATAGCTAGGCAGGAAAGAATAGGATTTCCAGGAAGAGAGAGAATGCTGGGAAGAAAAAAGGCAGAAACACCAGGAATAATACACAAGTGGGACACACAGTACAGAAGAGAGGTAAACAGTGAACCATGCAATGGGAGGTAGATTAATAGAAGCCGGTCAATTGAGTTGTAAGAGTTAGTTGGGACAAAGCCTACGCTAAGGCCAAGCTTTCATAATTAATAAATCTCCCTGTTGTTATTTGGGGCCTGGGGAATCCAAATATAGTCTGACAAGAAAGTTTGGTACACTGCACAAAAAGTAAATTAATAAAAAAAGCATTTATTAGAAGAGCATAAGGCTGAGGGAAAACTTCCAGAGACCAGCTCAGGAGTGGGAAACAATGGAGGCTCCTTGCTGAAGCAGGGCAGGCCTGTAGCTCTTCTCACTCTCCAGCCTAGCTAGGAAGGTCTGTAGCTCACAGATGGGAACTCCTCTGCCTGCAGGTCAGTGTGTCCTGAGCAGCCCGTGTCAAGGGAAACGGCAGAGGAAGTCATGCAGAGGCAAGGCCAGGAACCCTGACATGGAGATTCCCAAGGTGTCAGAGATACAGGCAGCCTCCATGGCAAATTCTCGGTGCTTGTCACTGGTCTAGGAGAGCAAAGAACAAGGGTTAGGCTTCCATTCACAAGACTCTTGAGGCCAAAGCCACAGCCCATGCCCAACGGATACAGACCTCAAGAGCAACGTTGTGGTAGGTATTCACATAGGCAGCTCCACCCAGGAACCCTTCATACAGGACGATGGCAAAGATGAGGTAGATGCTGGGCAGGAAGCTCAGAAATACGTCTGCCAGTAGGACAGCAAGGTTGAGGCACTGTGGGCAGTGGCAAGCAGAGGCTTCAGATTGGGCAACAGCACAGCATGGAGGTAGCGTGTCCCAAAGAGGCCAGTTATAGGAGACCCTGGGGAAGGAAACGGCTAACAGGCCTGGGTAGGACCTCAAGGCCCAGCTGGGCCTGCAGGACCCTGAGATCTTGGTGAGCCTTTCCTGGCCCCATCCTCATCCCCACACATCTTACAGGTCCCTCCCCTTCCCTTTCTCCCGTAACTCCTAACCTGGAATGCTGCTCAAGCATCCCTCACTGGTGATCTCTCCACTTGGATCAGGGTAATTCCCACTGTAGTCACTGGCCATCTCATTTCCTCCTTTGTTTGTTTTCCTGATGGCCTGAGCCATCATATCCAGACTGCCCCTCCCCCCTGCAAATCTAAGTCAGACCTTGTGCTTCACAGGCAAATACTCTACCAGAGTCTCATCTTCAACACCCCAGGACTCCCCTGAACATCCCCTATACTCCCCGAACTACTGGACTGAGACCAATGGGTCATTTGACAATAGGACTCCCTAGCTGTGTCACTGCATCTAGCCAGGGATACTTCTGAACATCCACAATGTACAAAACAATAACACTACATAATTATCAGGCTCCAAATGTCAAGACCATAAAAATTTGGAAAGATGACTCAGTGACTAATAAGCACCTGCTGTTGTTGCAGAGGACCTGGGTTTGGTTCCCAGCACCCACGTGGTGGCTCACAACTATCTCTAATTCCAGTTCCAGAGGACTTTGACACCCTTTCTGGCCTCCACAAGTGCCAGGCACACAAGTGGTTTACATACATACATGCAGGCAAACATTCATATACATAAATTAAAAAAAAAAGAGGGTCCAGGAGTGGTGTAGTACGCCTTTAATCCCAGCACTCCAGAGGCAGAGACAGGTAAATCTCTCTGAGTTTGAGGCCTGCCTGGTCTACAAAATGTATTCCATGACAGTCAAGGATACACAGAGACCTAGTCTCAAAGAGTCAAAAAATTTTAAGAGTGCTGGAGTTGAGAAACCATAGTTTTCATGTTCTCACTTGAAAAAGCCTCTTTGATCCCCCACTTGAGGGTGACAAGCCCTCCTCTGACCCAAGTTCTTCAGGAGTGTTCTGCTATTCCAGGACACTATGTGTTCTCCCTCCAGTGTGGGTCACCATCTGATGGCTCATAGGCTCCACACACAAAGAATTAACTGGAGATGTGTTAACCAGGGACCAGGTCTCCTCTTTCTAAAGTCATCACCGAGTCTGAGAAGGCTCAGAGATCTGCATAAGAACACACTCTGGTGATAGAGATGCAAGGGGCAGGGCTGCAAACCTGCACCTGTGGTTTGAGGCCTGGTGCTATGGGTAATGGTAGGGATTCAGGAATCAGGCTCACAACTCAGACAGTAACCTAAAGCTTTTGGAGACATCCAGAATCTCCAGGTGCAAATGGCTGACAGCTGTTGACCTAGCCTTGGGCTAACAGCACCAGCCAAATCAACAGCAGGGGCAGAGGCCATGGACTCTTGTCTGAGCTTCAGAATATAATCTATATTCTGTATTTCACCATGGAATTAAGTTCTCTTTTACATTAAAAACTTATTATATTTATTTGGTGTATATGTGCACTTATGCACTTATATGAAAATCAGATAGCAAACTCAGGTTGTTAGGATTGATGGCATTGGTGCAACACTTTGCAACCCCCCCTTTTAATTTTTTAATTTTTGTTTCTTAAAGGCAGGATTTCTTGGTATAGCTCTGGCTGTCCTGGGACTCACTATGTAGACCAGGCTGGCCTCAAACTCACAGAGATCCACCAGTCTCTGCCTCCTGAGTGCTGGGATTAAAGGTGTGTGCCACCAACTCCCGGCATTTTTGTTTGTTTGTTTTTGAGTGTACAAGTGTGTGTATGTGCCAGTGTACATGTGTGTGGAGATCAGAGAATTTTCAGTAATTGATTCTCTCATTCCACCCTGTGGAACCTGGGGATTGCACTCAGGTCACTAGGCTTGGTGGTAACAAGTACCCTTACCTGCTGAAGCATCTTCCTGGCCCATCAAGTAAGTTTTAAAAAATATTTTTAAGTACACATATTTTTTGAGGTGTGGCACTTGTGTGGATATAGAAGGAAACTTCTGGGAGTCACTTTTCTCCTTCCACAATGTGGATTCCAAGGATCAAACTTGGGTGGTTAGGCTTGGTGGCAGCACCCATACCAGCTGAGCCATCTCTTTAGCACCATGAACTGAGGTTTTCAATTCAAGGATAAAGTACTTTCCTGTAACGCAGGGAATGCATCCCTTTACACTTGGGAACAGAAGTGCTTTGTTTTAGATGTTTGGAATACTTGCATATACAAGATAGATCTTGGAATAGGAGCCTACTCTAACTATGAAACTCATTTTTCTTTTTTCTTTTTTTTGGTTTTTCAAGACAGGGTTTCTCTGTGTAGCTTTGGAGCCTATCCTGGTACTTGCTCTGGAGACCAGGCTGGCCTCAAACTCACAGAGATCCACCTGCCTCTGCCTCCCGAGTGCTGGGATTAAAGGAATCGCCACCAACGCCCGGCCGAAACTCATTTTTCACGTATACTCTATACATGTGACTCTATGCATATAGTAATTTTTCTCATGAAACCAAGTTTCATGGTGTGGGATTTTGCATTTGTGATGTCATGCAAATTAGTATTTTGCATTTTGCATTCAGATGTTATATTAGGGATGCTGAACCTGCAGCCAGAGGTTTAAAAGTCACTTTAGGGCTGTAGATCTCTAGATGAGTGCTGGTGTGTGAGGCTCCTCTTGGGAGACTGCTACAAAGAGCCAAGAACCACAGATCTCTGTTTGCTAAGTGCAGCTGAATTTGCTCCCAGCAATTATTCACTGATAAAAACACTCACTTGACCAAAATGCTACTGATTCTAAATAACCTAACCTAACACGAAAGAATATAGGTACGAACAGTATGCCTCCATCTGATTTAAAAATGTCTCTTTGCATAAAGTGTTAGCAAATCATCAAGAAACACATTTCGGCTGATTAAAATGTGGTACAAGCCAGGCATGGGGGCATATACCTGAAATCCCAGCACTCTGGAAACAGAAGCAGGAGGATCATCAAGTTCAAGATCAGCCTGGGCAACACAGTAAGACCCTGCCTTAAAAACAAACAAACAAACAAACAAAAGATGAGCCGGGTGTTGGTGGAGCATGCCTATGATCCCAGCACTCGGGAGGCAGAGGCAGGAGGATCTCTATGAGGTTGAAGCCAGCCTGATTTACAGAGTGAGTTCAAGAACAGGCTCCAAAGCAATATAGATTAACCCTGTCTCAGAACCGCCCCCCCCCCAGAAAAACCCAACAACAACAAAAAGATGCGAGCTTGGAGAGATGACTCAGTGGTTAAGAACACAAGCTGCTCTTCTAAAGGACCTAGGTTCAGTTCTCAGCACCTACACGGCAGCTCACAATCATCTGTAACTCTAGTTTCAGAGGATCCCGTCCCCTCTTCTGGCTTTTGTGGACACTGTATGCATGTAGTGCACAGATATACAAGCAGGAAAAAAAATACAAAAACACCCATACACATAGAAACAAATAAAACCTACAAACTCAAAACAAACAAAACCTACTAAGGCAGGGATAGGGGGTGGGGGTGTGGCAAGATGCCTCAGCAAGTTAAGACATTTGCCAGGCAGGTCTGTCAACCTGAATTTGAGCCCCAAAAACCTAGTAGAAGGATAGACAACTAAAAGTTGTTCCCTAGCTTCTATATTCAGGCCGGTATATGCACACCCTTGATTGTATACACACACACACACACACACACACACACACACACACCATACCAAAATAAAATACATAAACATTATCTTATTAAAAAAAAAATAAGCAGGGCTGGGCTGTGGTGGTTCGTGCCTTTAATCCTAGCATTCCGGAGGCAGAGGCAGATGGCTCTCTGTGAGTTCGAGGCCAGCCTGGTCTACAGAGTGAGTTCCAGGACAGTCAGGGCTGTTACACAGAAACTGTCTCAAAACAAACAAACAAACAAACAAAAAGACCCAAATAAAAAAACACACAAAAAAATTGCCTCTAAATAAAAAGCTTGGGATGACAAGATGGTTCACTGGGTAAAGGCACTTGCTTCCAAGTCCCATGACCTGAGTTTAATCCCTGGTTCTCTTCCACATGTGCGTCCTAATCCTCCAGGTTGTTCTGACCTCCACACACAGTATTTGGCAATAAAATAAATAAATAAGTAAAAATCTAATTACAACTTTTTAAATTGTAAAAATAAATAAGTAACGAGCTTGAAGATTTAATAAACACCTCAATAAGAGCACTGACCTAGCAAGCACAAAGCCCCAGGTTCAATTACAAGAACCATAAAAACAAGCAAACAGCAAAAAGCCAGGCATGATAGTCCAAGTCTTTAATGCCAGCATCAGTGAAGCAGATCTATGAGCTCCAAGCCAGCCTGGTTTACATATTGAATTCTGGGCCAACCAGAGCAACACAGTGAGATCCTGTCTCAAAAACAACAAAACAAAACACAAAAATTAAAACAAACAACAATGAAACCAAAATAAACCAAAAAAATATATTATCCGACTCTTCCATTTTTTTCCCTCAATGTTGTTGCCCACATCTATTAAATATTTTAAGTTTTGCAGTACTAGAAATGAAACTCACAGCCTTACACAGGCTAGGCAAACACTCTACCACTGAGGTACACATCCTGCCCCACAAATCTATTTCTCCATGGGAAAACTGAGGCTTGTTAGAGGTTCAGAGACCTGCTCTGAGTCACACAGCTGTTCAGTACAGAAACTGGTATTTGCCCACAAGTCTGACTGGCTTATGATGCTACCACACATTTTATATGGAGCCCTGCTGGTGTTTGGTGCTATCCGTAGAAATGCCAGAGTATACTAATATATTCTGCTGAGTGAGGGATGCTGGGAGACAAGTTGAGAATGGAAGAACAGGGCAGGGGCTCAGTACCTGCAGCAGGGCTAGGACCCAGATGAAACGGATTCGGCAACAGTAGAGAGAAGAGCGGGAGACAAACACACCAGTCTGGTATAGCATTTGGTACCTGAGGTAGGGGCAGGGAGGATGAGGTTAACCCCAGGTCCCCAACATTGAGGGGTCCTCCTAGCCCACTGCCCACTTGACAACTTCTCTCACCATCGGTACTGCTGAGAATGACTCAGGGATGTGTTCCGGAAAAAGAGGAGCTCAAACTGCATCAAAGACCAGACAAGTGGAGGTTTGTGGAGCCTCAGTCCTATTTCTCCTCCCATACCCCTTCCCAGCACCCCTCACTCACAAGTCCCTGGTTGATGAAATACTCAGCAAAGTAGACCAGCACCAAGGGGATGATATAGTGCAACAGGCCCTGGAAGAGCGGAAGATGTAAGTGGAAAACAGGAGGCAGAAGCTCCTCACAGGGCACCCGCAGGCCACCATTCAAACCTTGAACACTGTCCACCTTTCCTGGAACGGGAGATCCCAGCTGGAATCTAGAGAGCAGGGAGAAAGGGGGAGAAAGTTACACACTGAATGCTTAATGAGGCGCCATCACACAGCAAGCAACCAGCCATCAAGGCATCAATTTCGTATTTAAATGGCACCAGCTACACACTTAATAGTGGGTAAAAAGATAAATTTCATACTTTGTACACATGTATACACACACACACACACACACACACACTGATTTTTAAAAAGGAGCAAGACCGTAGATCAGTGTACAACTTTTCTCTGCTGACCCCATCCCAAACTCTCTGGCTGTGCTTTCTGTTTCTAAAATAGACTCTTTTCTCCCACAAGGCCTCAGCCAGAGCTGTTTCCTGAGCCTGGAACACAGTCACCTAGACATTCACAAGGGTGACTCCTGGACAGCCAAGTTTCAGCCCAACGATGACGATGCCCTTCAAAAAGCCTTCTTAGGCTGACAGGATGGCTCAGTGGATGAGGGCACGCTGTCAAGCCTGAATGCATGGAGTTTAATTCCCAGAACTTCCACATTTGTGTACACGCCCTTCCCCAGCTCACCCCCACCCCCCAGTAAGTAAATGGTTTGTTGTTATTTTTAAAAGCTCTCTTGGGGGCTGGAGTGATGGCTCAGTGGTTAAGAGCACTGGCTGCTCTTCCAGTGGACCAGGGTTCAATTCCCAGCACCCACATGGCAACTCACAACTGTCTGTAATTCTAGTTCCAAGAGATGCCCTCTTCTGGCCTTTGCCGGCATGCAACATATCCATAGTGTAAATTCACAATACACAAAAATAAATCTTAGCCAGGTGTGTGTGGTGGCACTTGCCTTTGATCCCAGCACTTGAGAAACAGAGGCAGGTGGATATGTGAATTTGAGGCCATTCTGAGCTACAGAGTGAGTCCCAGGCCAGCAAGGTCCACACAAAGAGACTGTTTTTGTTTTTTGCTTCTTTGAGACAGGGTTTCTCAGTGTAGTCCTGGCTGTTTTGGAACTTGCACTGTAGTCCAGGCTGGCCTTGAACTCAGAGATCCACCTGCCTCTGCCTCCTGAGTGCTGGGATTAAAGGCAAGTGCCACCACCGCCCTTGGAGAGACTCTGTTAAAACAAACAAACAAAAACTTAAAACAACCTTCTATAAAGCAGAGAGCCCTTAATCCCCTCGTCCCTTTAACTGTCATGTTCTGGTTTTGTTCCTTTTTTCTTTTGAGGGTGTGTGTTTTGTCCTCTCCCTCCCTCCTTTCCTTTCTTTTTTGAAACAGGGTCTTATTATGTATCCCTGGCTGGTCTGGAACTCTTATATAGACGAGGGTGGAGATCTGCTTGTGTCTGCCTCCCAAGTGCTGGGATTAAAGGTGTGCACCACCACTTTAGGCCCTATCACTGTTTTATGTTCTGTGAAAATGTTCTCACTAATTCATCTTGAACACCACTGGTCTCAGCAATTGGAATGTCTGGCATGTGGTTAGTAAGTATACATGACTGCTTTGACCCAAAGCTGTACACCCAGCCTGTTCCTCTCAACTGTGTCCACCGTTGAGACCAAAACATTTAGGGGGAAGTGATTGTGTGTGTGTGTGGGCTTTGTCTCCTACCTGGCTTTGACTCTGGGGTCTCAGTGCCTATGAGTGGCTGCCGGGCAGCAGTCTCTGCTTCATCCTTCCCTCCAGGGTCCTGGGGTTCAGGAGATGTGAGCAACAAGAAATAGCTGGGATGGAACACAAAAGCAACAGTTTGTGTGAGCTCTTCTTCCGACAAAAGAGCCCCAGCAGTCCTGCAGGCCACACCCTTCCAGGGGATCCTTCACATCTGTATTTACCTAAAGATGGGGAACTCACAGCCTCTAAGTTATCCAATCCTGTGCTATGAAAGCTTCAAATGTTGACAAATGCATCCTTTGAAACCCAACGTTGGCTCTTTGTTTCTACCTAGGGACCTCATTTGACTGGGTCCATATCAGTAGCAGCTCAATTCCATATCCTTGTTCTCATTATCCAACAAGCGCTCTCGTACCACTTCTTACACAGGTACCATTCTATAGTAATTTGTATTGAATGTGTTCCTTGACGTTTTTATACATACAGATACTGCACTCTGGTTTCCCTCACCCCACTCCTGTCTTCTTCCCTATGAACTCTCCTACCTCACAGATCCTTTTCTCATATTCATGTCTTCTTTTTCTCATATTCATGTCGCGCGCGCGCGCGCGTGTGTGTGTGTGTGTGTGTGTGCGTGTGTGTGTGTGTGTGTGTGTGTGTGTGTGTGTGACTCACTAAGTTTAACCAGAGCCTGTATCATCATGGGCTTTACTTCTTTATTTAGCTTTTCTGAGACAGGGTCTCACTGTGGCCCTGGATGGCCAAGAGCTTGATATGTAGACCAGGCTGGTCTCAAACTCACAGAGATCCACCTGCCTATGTTGCCCGAGTACTGGGATTAAAGGCATTTGCCATCATATCCAATTATCTATATTTATTTTTGAGCCAGGGTTTCCAACACGTGATCCCTCTGCTTTAGCCTCCCAAGTGTTGGGATTATAGGCTTTCACACTACACACATCCTGACTTCTTTTTTTCTATATGGCCTTGTCCTTGGAACAGGTCCCCAGACCTCAGCACGACTGACTCTATGACCGAAGTGCCACTTAGGCTGTAAAACTCAGCACATAGACAGTATCACCTGCCAAAACTAAAACAATGACCTAATCCATCAAAGTTCATAGTTCTGGGAAAGTCTCTAAATGTACTAACCTCAATTTTTAGCTACTGTAGTTTCGCTTCTGGCTAACAGTTCTTGTTAACTGAAGTATGTCAACCCAGACCATAGTTTGGACTAAAAAGCTCACCCTGAGAAAGGCTCAGTGTTACACCAGGATCCTGAACACCCAGTGTAGTTGTCAACTGGCTAAGAAATACTTTTTATTGACTTAAACCCATGTCTGAGCAGTCCTCTTTGGTGAATACTCCACAGCAGTCTTGAGCTATAACATAAAGTTACAGGTTTAACTGGCTAGTTAATGTTTTCTTTCTTGCTTCCTTGGGGTGGGGGTAGGGGGCACACAGGGTCTCACTATATAGCTCTGGCTGTCCTGAGATTCATTATGTAGTCCAGGCTGGCCTCAAATTCACAGAGATGCACTTGCCTCTGCCTCCTGAGTGCTGGGTTTAAAGGCGTGAGCCACCACTCCTGGCTTAATGATATTTTCTACTACACACAAATACACATAGAACTAATATACTGCGCTCAATCCTAGTCAAGAATCTCGCTGTGCTGATGCTTCGCATTCATCAGCTGACACGAAAGGACAACCACTGTGATACTACAGAGACAACTGAGGGTAAGGAATGAAGTTGTCCAGAGTCACACAGCTAATACACGCCCACTCTGGTACTAAAATTAAGGGCTGTCCAGGGTTCAGAATCCACATGCCCTCACAACAAGGCTGAAGAGATCTGAAGATTGGATCAGGATCAAGTTCCTCTCCTCCTCCCACAGTTTTGTCCTTTGAGCCCAAGGACACTCACCTGGCCAGCAGCAGAACAGGGACCACCAACATAGAAAGCAGGGTGTGCTGAGGGGAAAGGCCAGCCTGGATGAGTCCCAAGTAAGACACCGATCCAAGAAGCCCTGCACCCCCAGTACCCGAGGACCACCAGGAGATCATAGCACTGAGGAGAACATAAGAGCATTTAGGAAGATAGGAGCAGCAGGGGGCACCCGCCTCTCATCTTCCTTCCTGACCAGCCTGCTTACCTGGGGTAGAAGGCGGTGAGTGAGAGGAAGGTGACCTCTCCTAGACCTGATGAGATGCTGGCCAAAACCACTCCTGGGAGGATGAAAAGCATATGGTGGACTTTAACTGAAAGTCACAGCCTCCTATGGCGTTTGATTATAGCCTCATCTCTCCATCAGCTCAGCGGGCTAATAACAGATTTGTCACTGAACAGATTGGACAGGCTCATCTGAAAGAGCCACACCCTCCTCCTCGTGTCTTCTCTGAGACTACATCCCATCCTCATCCTCCCAATTATTCAACCCTGCTCAGCCCAATCTATATTCAGTCCATCCATCTAGCCCTATTAACACCTCCAAATTGTTCCTACAGCCCACTCTGTTTGGAGAGTTCTAGCAGGTTTGTTTTTGAGACAAGGTTTCAGTTATGTAGTCCAGGTAGGCCTGGAACTTGCTATGTAGATCAGCATGGCCTGGCACTCTCCTTGTTTTTTGAGACACGATTTTGCTGTGAAGTTTAGGGTAGCCTTGAACTCACTATGTGGCCCAGACTAACCTCAAATTCACAATCCTGTCTCTCAAGTGTTAGAATTACAAGTGTGTGTTTGTGTGTGGTGTGGTGTGTGTGGTATGGTGTGTTCCAAACACCACTAGCAATCTTTTGAGGTTACAAACATACCTTTCACTCTGGGAAGCTGGGGAGGCTACCCCCACAGCACACTATGGAGGCTTCTCCCACCCACCTCACACATAGCTGCATACTCACCACTCAGGCTTAACCACACTGAGTGAGAAAAGGCAACCAGGATAAAGCTTCCAGCAGAAAAAACTCCAGTGACAAGGACCCGGGGACTGAGAAGAGATGGAGAAGAACTTAGAAGGTCACCTCCATGTGAGACTCGCCAGCCCCCTGCTATCTCCCCTCTCTGCCTTCCTCCTGCCACCCTGACCCAGACCTGTAGGGCAGCAAATGAAGGCCAAAAGGAGCCAGGAGTTTGATGACGAGGGTGGGAAGGATGTCTGCCAGGAGCACTGCCTGAGATAGGAGAACAGAGTAAGAGCCTTGACCCTCCCAGAGATTACCTTCCCAACCCAGTAGTGGAGTCAGCCAGTGAGACCTGCAGCAACTTCAGGCTCTGGGGCTAGACAGATCTGGGTTTACTCCCAGATTTCCCAGCTCTGCGCTCCTCTGATGGGTGTGAAGGCATTTACACACTCTGAACTTCAGTTTCCTCATCCCAAAAGGAGAAGCATGCAGTGCCTCATTCAGAAAGCTAGCTACCATGAGCTGCTATTTACCACTCACAGAAAAGGCCCCAGTCTTTTTCGTTTGTTTGTTTATTTTTCTAGACAGGGTTTTTCTGTGTAGCCTTGACTGTCCTGGAATTCACTCTGTAGACCAGGCTGGCTTTGAACTCACAGAGATCCGCCTGCCTCTGCCTCCTGAGTGCTGGGATTAAAGGTATGCGCTATCACTGGCAGGCATGAATTGTAATCTTGACTGGGTGCAGAGGGAATGAGGGTGCAAAGGCACGGATCATGAGGACCTTAGGTGGCTACTCACAGCTGTGGAGATGGAGTTGCAGTCAAATCGAGATGAACTGTTGTGGGTCATGGGTGTTGGGCTTGGCTCCACCTGTGGGAGAGAAGAAAATCTTTCCTATGAGGAGGCAAGAGGTTAAACAAGGCCCAGTCCCAGCTCTGTCATAAGTTGACAGATAGCTTTGGGTAGGCATGGGCTTCTTGGGGCCTTAGTTTTTTTATGTGCACAATGAAGGAGAGTGTTGATAAATATCTCAAACTATTGGCCCAGAGGCTGACGAAACCACGCCCAAATTGTATATAACATATTTAAGAACATTCATATAGAAATCTGGGTTTCTGGAAAATCTTGTCTTGGGCCAAATTCCCTACTGAACTTGGAAAGTGGAGGCTGTTGCTCTTAGGGTATGCATTTTCTCAATCATTAAGACAAGAAGTTCTACACAGGGGGTGACTTTACCTGCCAGCAACATTTGTAAAAAACATCTGGAGACATTCTTGGCTGTCAGTTTTGGTTGTTAGTGGGTAGAGGAATGGGATGCTACTAAACACCTACAATGTGTAGGACAAACTCACAACAGTCACCTGGCCCTAAATGTCAACAGGGCCCAGGTGACAAAGCACGCCACAAAAACAAGGTCTTACCCAGCCAGTTACTTGAGTTCCCCAACCTGGTATCCCTTGTTCTCTTCAGGATCCCTCCTGCCCTGATGTACGGAGACTAGGGACTGTAACTCCCTTGGCCCACCCATGGCTACTTCATGAGTTTTTCAGGGGACCTCTGGCCCTGGGTGAGTCCCTAGCAGTTCCATAGGGACTAATCACATGGTGGTGGCAGAGAAGGGCTCACTTACATGGCTCTGGTTCCCAGATGCCTGCTTGTACTTGAGGATGTCATGGGCAGCACTCAGCATCACCACATATGAGAAGTTGTTGCAAAGGCCCAGGATCCTAGAATGAGGAGAGATCTTCACTTTCTGGCTTTCTCCCTTACATGTACCATTCAAATGCCAACCTCTTTTCTCTCTCTCTCCAACATCAGACTCAGGGTTAGAAATAGAGGCTTTGAGATTAGACCAGATCATGGCTAAGCAACAAGGCCTCTCCCAGGAAGATATCCCTGACTACTCTTTCTTCTATGCTGGCACCAAGATTCAGGTCTGGAGGCGTTTCTCAGCCAATACTGAGGTACAACAGAAATATCCAGGACTTGAAACCCAAGTCAGTTGCTTCCTATTTCTGTGGCCTTAGTGGATTCCTATGTAAAACGGGGGCAAGTTCTCACCTGACCTCATAGAGTGCTGGAGCAATCAAAATAATACCAGGGCTCCTTTTGATCCATAAAGCATTTTGTTTTTATTTTCATTTCCCAGAGCTGTGCTCAGGGCTAGGCAAAAGCAAACGGACTGTGGACAGAGCTCCATGAACACCCGGAAGGCCCTGCTTTCAATACCCTGCACTACAAACAAAAACAATGGGGAGCTGGGCATGATGCTACAGGCCTGTAATCCTGGCACCTGGAAGGCAAAGGCAGGAGGGTTAGAAATTAAAGACAAGCCTCCACTGCCCAGAGTTTAAAGCTGGCCTGGGATACAAAGGCCTTTCCGTAAAAACAAAAACAAAAACAAAGTTGCAACTGAGTTGGTGGAAGGAAAACATTTAGTAACTGCAGATGGTAAGAGGCTCTGATCAACAAGTGATGGTGGTAATTTAATGGTATTTGGAAAGTTCACAGGTGGCCAAGGGTAAACCAGTTGACTCAGTATGTGTGGATCCATTAGCTTTTCTCAGCTTGACTCTCACTCCTTTTGTTCCAGTCGCACTTCTGCACAACTCTCAGACCACTTACCAGAAGCCCATCGCGTTCTTCCATTGGGCACTCTGGCTATCCAACGGAGGGGCTTGGGGCTCCGGGTCGGTCTCCT